ATTTAGGGTAATGATTCACATCTATATTTTTCAACTTGATCCAATAAAAAAGAAATAACTTGCCCTTAGGAAGTGTCAGGGGGGTGTACAGTGAGCGGTCATTGAAAATTTGTTCTGATATATGTTCTTCACAGTAAATGAGCCAAGGCCAATAAGTCTGAGTTTGAAAAAAATGTATTTATAATATAATTTTTCTTTTGATAAAAAGTGAAAACGGGTTCCACAGACCCGAACACCATACAAGGGTTAAACATTACACTTTATGTTATTCAAAATCTTGCTGTTACAACTGGGCTGTTATGATCCTCATTTTTGGAAATACTTTTATTTATTCTTATTATTTTTATCATTATTTAATGTGGAAGAAAAAAGTACAAATCAGTAAATTGAATCAATAAATGTTCTACTCTTACTGAGTCTCTGAAAGAACAAATGCAGGCTTTTGTGAAGATGTGTGAGTGTATGTGTGTACAGAGAATGCGTGGAGGTCAGTGAGCGAGATGTAGAAACACGCGCACAGTCATTACAAAGATGTTTACCCTCAGGGGAGACCTTATTCATTTCCTGTGTCAGTCCTTAAGTCAAACGCATACACACATAGGCATAACACTCGTCTTATGGATCCGCAGCTACTTTTCATCCATTTTCACTTTTAATCAGCTAAAAACTAACAGCTTTGCTCAACAAATTTGCCCACCAGTTTTGCATAATTTTGATTTGTTGACTTAATGCAATTACACAGTCATCAGTATCCATGTACATTGCAGGCTGTACTGAAGCTTTGTTAGTATTTAGTGTGCATGTTACGTCATGTACACTAAATGTACATGGCGTCATGATAGATAGATAGATAGATAGATAGATAGATAGATAGATAGATAGATAGATAGATAGATAGATAGATAGATAGATAGATTGTGAGTGACACAGGTGAACTTGAAAGGGCTTTCGGAAAGATGTGCACACACTTTGAAACTGTGAAACTGTCAGAGTATTGGGGTTTTCCAGCGATGCACAGATGCAATAAAGATGAAGATGATGCATGTATGATACATAAAGCAAGTGAGACATCTTTTGGATTCAAAGTATTTACTTAGTCTTTTATTTGGGCAATGAAATGCAATTTTAAATGACTGATACATTATTTTACAATTAAAAACAATTGATGTATAGCGTTAGTTTAGATAAATATCACCTAAATTAAATATAATAAATCCTTAAGCAAATTTTTGACTTTTGTTTGTAGAGATATTTTTTGAAAGTGTTGACAAGTGTGTGTCAACAATTTCTCTGAATATGCATATAAAGAGAGAATATTTCAAGGAATTTTCTGGGTGATATGTAAAATCATCAGTAATCTTGTTTCATCAGTTGATAATGTACTTTTCAACACACGAGAAATTTACATTTATATTTGCAGTGTACCTAAAAACTGTTGAGCTTTTAATATGAATGCTCTAATATTTGCAGTATTAAATTAATTTAATAGGTTAAATATGTTTTGAAGCTGGTCATCATGATGTATAGCTTAATTGTTTTATTTTATCTAGAGACAACATTACAGTTAAACATATTACCTCCTATCTTTTTGCATTTTATTTCTCAGATTGGTGATTAAGACATTTAGAAATTTTGGCAATTGATGATTTAAAAAAAAATCATAGAATGAAAAAAAAAAAACTCTGAAATTCAGTTTATCTTCACAATCTATGGCCCTTGTATGCAGTTCTTGCATTTCTTTGTTAAACACCTGTGTGTGTTGATTTACTGTAATGGTTTTCAACCTGGTAAATACTAATTTGATCAACCATAGCCTGTCCTTTTTTCCTTATATTTTAGATATAACTTTTTTATGTTTCCTTCCAGACAGAATATTCTATTTCTGTGATGAATGCCATCCTGAACTCTGTTTTGAAGTGATCAGTTATCATTACTGTATGCCAGTTAGAATTAAAATCAAAATTAGATGAATTTGTAGTGTAATGTGTACATTATACTGTAGTGGAATGGCATAAAATTAATATCAGTGACTATGCACTCACACAACATGCACCGTACTGTCACACCTTAGACTACTTATATAGATAGATAGATAGATAGATAGATAGATAGATAGATACATGAATGTGTACATTATACTGTAGTGGAATGGCATAAAATTAATATCAGTGACTATGCACTCACACAACATGCACCGTACTGTCACACCTTAGACTACTTATATAGATAGATAGATAGATAGATAGATAGATAGATACATAGATATATATATAGTAATTATGTGTCTTAAAAGTGTGAGTTCATATAAATAAATTAACAAGTTCCTAAAAAAAAAACATGTCAGTTTACATCAGTAATGCAAATTAAATGCCTCATGGAAACAGTAACAGTGTTATTTCATTACTGAAAAACTAGATTGAAGAATAGATATTGAAGAACAGAGTGCTGTGTCTTCTGTTATTTCATTATAGACACACACATCAGTGGAACCTATTCATCAGAAAAAAAAATTATAATGTCAGATGAAGCTTTCTATTTTCATTGCAGATTAATCAAATATGAACAACTTTCAGTTTTTATGTCTCTGACTGTTCATCTTTGACAATTATTACAGAATATAATAATGTTTTAATAATATAATTTCAGCTTATAGTACAAAATCTCCACAAAGATCACTATAAACAATGAGTTACATCATGGTGAAGTCACATTTTCCATTTAGTTTGTGGTGTATTATGACATCCCTTTTCTTCCTCTCTCTTTGTCAGGTCTTCAAGAAAGTTCCTTCATCTGTGACAGTTCTCTGAGCCTGACCTTGATAAGTGAGGTAAAATAATTCCACCTGTATCTCTGACATACTACACAACATAGGTATCATATGGAAATTCATTATGGAATGACTAATGCCAAAGCATACAATTACTAAATAGTATGGGGGAAAAAAGTGTATATCAAACAATAAAATGCACTGATCTTTTATAGGAATCCTAAAGTGAACTGAGTACTAAACATTGACTGAGTACTTTACGCTGTACCTGACGTCCATCGGCACAGTGAGGCTGGTGCTTCCTAAAGTGCTGTACAGCACATTTCTCTAACTTTACACCTGACTAAAAGCAAGTGTAAATTCACCTTCCCATAGGCCAGACTCTCAGTGCTGGGATGATGGATTTCTGAAAGCCCAGTTGGAGCACAATCCATCTTTCTCCAGGCTCAGTGTGTACTCTTGTAGGACTACACCAATGACATCTCACTGGAGCACCTCATGCACCTCGCTCTTGGGTAGAGGCTGCTCTCTGAGCTGTCAGGGATTAAGGTGTTTGTGCGGAACATTGGTGAATCATAAAAGGGCTTTTAGTGACCAAAGTTCTATATATTCACTGCGGCCCGACCGACTGCGATTGATTCAAAGGCGCTGTACCTTCTAGAACAAAACTAAGAGTCAGAGATCTTGCTCTCTTGCATGCTGGGTTAAAATGCAGATATATATTAAAAACAGGATAGTTTTAGGCCTAATCTGAATGGATGAGTCATAGTCAAACATACTCTAAAATAGACAATACATAAACACACATTGTGGTGTGCAGTGGTGCTTATGCATGTGTGTGTCTATGCAGCATTTCCTGCCTCCTCTTTTACCAATACATTCAACAAAAAGGTCAAAAAAAGAAATAAACAAAAATAGTTATGAATTCTATGAACACTAAATAGTTAATAAACTAGATTACTTTGCAGATGGCAGATATTATGAATGATGTCAGAGATTGGAGGATTTTGTGACTATTGCTATTAAGAAATCGCACTAATTATTGAACAGTGGTTTTGTTTCAGCTGCTGTTGCCGCTTTGCCTTGAACATAAATTCACTATAACGCAAAACCTCTTGTGATTAAATCACTTTAGTATTTGTTTATTTATTCTTAAGGTGAATAATCTTATTTTGGGGCTGTTAACCAAACACAATAATGATTTATTTTTCAGCCTTCTGCTATCAGTTAGATAAAAAAGATCAATGGTTGAGCCAATTTTCTTTGTTGTAATGGTCTGGATGCTCAAATAAATGATAAAGCACCACAGAATCGCACGTTTCCACTTTCAGGTAAATGAACCTATGAATGATTTACTTACAGTTGTCTCTGCATATTAAGATGGAATACGAAAAAGTATTTGACTAGCACAAACACTTCCACTCCTCACCTTTACATGATTAACAAGGTAAAGAGTTTACCTAGTTGTTCTTGAATCTTTGTCAGGAGCTCCGATAATGGTTTATCCTTCTTATTTATCTTCCCCTTATACCCAATATCCATTTAGCATGTTCCTTTCCTCTGTCTCTTTCATACTAATCTGCATATTGAGGATGAGATGTTAATGTCATGCTGCCCTTCCCATAATGCTCTGTGTTTCCGTCCCCATTGTCTTTAAGTAGAACACAGGATCAGGGCTGGCCAGGCTCCAGCCTCACTTAACTTCGCCAGGGAAAAATGAGACGGAGCTGTCAGAGATGACAAGGACAAATCAGCATTCAATGAAGTGCTTTAAGTGCTGTTGTTTCCAACAGCCATTGGAGCGGCTGTGAATTAGTTGCCCTTTAGAGACAGCTGAGGAAATGTGCTGGATAAACACTTAGGAATGACAGAACACAGAGAACACAGGAATTAAAAAAACATGAATGATAGGTGTCTTACATAGACCTGCTCTCTTATCACACGCACATAATTGTGGGTTATCATGTCCTCAGAAACTGACACAATGAAGTCATCTTAGTAGATAGGATGTTACACAAACATGTCTTTCTATCTCATTATACTGGCTGAGAAAGCAGTGAGGATTTGGACTCAGCCTAGGACTGAGACCAGCATGTTCTTCTAGTAAAGGTCGTATTTGGCTTTATTAATTTCTACGAGAAAACACAAGTGAACAAGCAGCCTTTCCATGTAAGCTAAGTGTTAATAGGAAAGGAGAATGATGACTCCGCTTCCAACTGTGAGTGTCATTCAGTGATTTTGCTACAGGTGTATGATGTGTCTCGTCAAACAATCCTAACTTTAACAATACGGTTAACCTACACTTAAAATCAGAGGGCAGTGATTGGTGGTTAAGAATGCTGTTGAAGTCCCAGTTTGTTTGTTTATGCTGTTTCAGATGTTTAGGGCAGTGCTGTAGTCCGAAGTCCAAATGCTCCCAAGTCTACGACAAGACCCAGACCAAGAAAAATAGTCTTGAGAACTACAACACTGGTTTAGGGACTGATAATGATGTTTGTCAATCAAATATATGATTTGGATTGTGGGCACTACATTCTTGAATAGATCCAGCTGCTAGTTGATGTCAGTGAAAAAGGAAATGTTAGTCTTGGTGATGTCAGTGGAAAAAGGAAAGTCTGTTCACAGGTGAAAAAAAATATATAAATAAATAAAATAAAAAAAATATATATATATAACATTGTTATGGAAGATTACAATGATGTATATTTGAATTAACATACACAGATGAAACGTTCACAATAAGACTGGGAACATAAATTAAGTATTGTCATGAACTGCATGTAGACGCGAAGGTCGAGGATCCAAATGCAGTGTTTTAATGAAGGGGTAATCCATAATCAAAGTCCAAAACAGGCAAAGGTCATAACACGTGCAATCAGTCCAAACAAAAGCAACAGGGCAAAAAACACAGGCAAAGAGAAATCCAAAAACAGGCAGGATAAACGAACCAGGAACCAAGACACCGGAGAATTAGGACACTAGGCTAGAAATGCAGATGACACAAGCAAGACTTAGCAATGAATGACAAAATGAACCAGGCTTATATAGGGTGAGCAGACAGGGTTAACGAGAGTCAGGTGCAAACGCTGCACGCTGATGAGTCTGTGCAAAGGATTATGGGAAATGCCACAAGACTGACGGTGCGTTCCAAACGGGATATATCGCCCTCCGAAGGGCACTTCGGAGTGAAAACAATCATGGCTGCCATATTGTAGGGTCGTTCCAAACCGAAGTGCTCAAAACTGGCCACTTCAAATGGCCCTTCGGAATGAGGGATTTCGAAGGGTACAACCGATGGACACATTGGGCTCCCATGATCCTTTGCACAGATTCTTTGCATGATGACACCGCCTCCGTGTGGGCACAGGATGATGACGCAGAAGGGCACTTCAAGAAAGAGTTGTTTGGTCCCCTACACCCTTCAACCTTTCGAAGCTCTCACTCCGGAAGGTAAACCCTTTGAAGGGATTAGGGATGAGCCCTTCCGAATGGAATGCAAGGCTAGTGACAGAGTTATGGGATGGAGTGCCCTCTGATGGTTATCAAGGGCACTCCAGCTGGTGATCATGACAAGTATATACAAGCTTACTGTAAAAATAAAGGTTCTTTATTGGCATTGACGGTTCCAAAAATAACTTTTAAAGGAACCTTTGGAATCTATTTTTTTATAAGAGTTTTGTCAGTTCATTTTGGCTTTAAACAACTTCACATATATATATAAAAAAATGCACACTATGTCAAGGTGATTTTGACCTGCCAAGCTGTTTTTAGATGAAAAAAATATCTTCAGTTAACCTATATAAACAAGCGCACACTTTGGTGTGTGTTGAAGAAAGTACACCCCATGGGCTGCCCTGACTCTTCCATTGCACGTGGCAATAGTTCAGACACCAGTGAGGGGACAAAAGGACACAGTAACTGCTGAGGTAGGAGAAAACCACCAAATTCCTGAGAGGACAGTGTGAGCACACACACCCGTACTCGTGTTGGGGTGTTGTAAGCCTTACATCGGCCATAGGGAGGGCCAAGTGAGGCGTGACTGGCGGTTGAGACTGGTCAGTCTCACTGATAGAGTGTCATCTGCCAACGGTGGTGCTAAAAACACCATATATCACATCCACCACACTTCTGTATTGTTGCAACACCCCTGACTTCTAGCGTAACAGCTCTGATGATTTCTATATATGGGGTACTTGTGTATATAAGAATTTAACTAACTAAATGCATCTGATGAAAGGCTGGGTTTCACCAACTACCTCTGGATATGATACCAATCAGGGCTTAAGCATTCTCATGTGGTTGTGCTTCGGACAAGTAAATTTGTCATTTACTTGTCCGAGTATAAAAGTTACTTGCCTGCAGAGAGAGAGAGAGAGAGAGAAAAAACATTTAAATTGAGTTATAAATATAATTATTTATCGTAGTTATACAAAACTTAGTATAGTGTTTATAGAGTATATGTTGTAGATTTTGTGACCATGTCACATTTAGTTTATTTAGGTAGATTTTTCTTTTTAAATACAATAATAAACAAAATAATAAAGTGAAATCAGTAACACAATTCACCTTTGCAAGGAAACACAGAAGCTGCATCTGAAGTGGCATTTAGATACATTTACACACTGTTTAATGCAGGGCATTAATGCATTTAACCTGCAGTTAACACATGCATATATAATGTTTTAATACTGTAAACATAAAATGTTGGATACTGATATTTGAAATTATTTAAAAAAGAAAAAAAAAATACTTTAAATGTGAAATTAAAACCGCCAGTAGGTGGCATCAAGTCACTGTTAATAAGCGAGTCATTGCGATTGATCCGAATCATTCAAATGGATTCATTCAGGAACCAAACACTGTCATGTTGCTCAGAGACGCAAAACAGTGCTGTGGCTGTGTTTGGAATTATTTCTGTTGGCGAAATCGAACAAAAAACAGGCAATACGATATCTAAAACGTAAGTCTCTTAATATTTACTTCTTGTTTATTGAACTGTTGTATAAAATCACAATTTGTAATCATGCTGATTTTTGGAGCAAAAAAACAGTGCCCGATCTTCGTGTGATATTGTTTAACTTTATGAAATTATATAAATATATACATTTTCTGCCCCCATATCTTGAATTTTCTGATCATTCGTCATGCATTTTAATACTGAATCATGCAGTGAAAGAACGCACACGTTCACTAGTCTAACCTATTAGACTTCTTTATGTAGGCCTAATGTGTGCGCGCACTCTGTAGG